ACCCACTGCCGTGGAGTCCATTCTGACTCACAGCGCCCCTAGAGGACAGAGTGGAACTGCCCACAGGGTCTCCAAGGCTGTCGATCTTCACAGAAGCCCGTGGCCTCAGCTTTCTCCCACAGAGTAGCTGGTGGGTCCTAACCCCTGATTTGTGGTTAGCAGCTCAGTGCTTCAACCACTGGGCCACCAGAGCTCCTTGTGGTCCACACACACAGTGAAGCATTACCCAGCCACAAAGAATGAAATCCTGATACACGCCCAGCGTGGTGAGCTTAGGACACTATGCTGAGGGCAGAGAGGCCGGCCCAGGACAGTGCCTGTGGGCCACCCCTTAGAGGAGACAGGCGACTATGGAGACCCCCGGTCAGCAGAGGCGGGACGGAGGCTAAGCAAGCGCTTTGCTGAGTGCCCTGGCGCGTTAACGGCGGTGGGGAGGTCTGGGAAAAGATCCCCAGAACGGCTATTCACCCTGACGGCTGTGAGCATGTCACTGACGTGCACATGTGGAAGAACGGGTGGAAGGTGTGTGTTCTGTTGTATGTGTTACTGCTCTAACAAAGAAGTTCACATATGAAAAAAAAAAAAAAAGATCCCTGGAGGTCCTTACCAGTTCTTGTGAAGGGGCCTTGGAGTAAGGTTTTCTTTTGTTGTGTTAATAAGGTCATATAGGGTGGGTGGGACCTAGACTCAGTCCTTCTGATTGGTGCAGAATACAGAGGACGGACGGACGGACACACACACACACCCATGCACGCGCACACGGCAGACGCCACGTGAAGGTGGAGGCAGATGTGTCTGCAAGGAGCAAACCAACACAAAGGGTGACCAGTCACCAGAAACCAGGAGCGAGGCCTCCAGAGGCACCGACAGGCCCGGACCGGGACTGGGCCACTAGCTTCCAGAACCGGGAGGCGGCGAGGTCCCGGGCCCTGAAGCCACCCACCCACCCACCGTGGTGCATTCTGCCGCAGCAGCCGAGGTAACAGACAGCCCCAAGCTGGGAGATACAAGTAGCAAAACTGGGGCTTCTGAGCCTGAAGGGTACCCCGAGATCTAGGGTTCCTCGTCACCCTGATGTATGAGAGGATCCCCAAATTAATATCCTTATGATATCCGTATGAAGATCCCTTGAAAAGTGGAGCACCACCCCCTCCAAAAAAACTGGCAACACACCAGGCCCACTCTGACCCGGGGTGACGAGGGCCCCGTTTACCTTCTCAAACTCCAGCCTGATGGGTGGGGGGAAGTGGCTTGATACCCAGTCGGCGGCCTCCCGCCCCAGGGCCATGGCCTCGGCCACTGAGGAGACGCCAAAACGGCACATGACAGAGTCCGTGTCCCCGTATACCACCTGGGAGATGGGACGCAAAGGAGGCTGAGTGCTCTAGGGCCACCACGGGTACACAGGAGGCCTGGCCCCTGGCGCTCACCCTGGGCCACCCCCAAGCCGTTGCAGGGCGGTGGGCGGGGCACGCCGACCTTGGCAGTAGCGCTGTAGCCATTCTCCACCGTGTACTTGGACTCCACCAGCTGCTTTGTTTTCTCGATCATCTGGCGCCCAAAGCCGGTGACGCTCTGCAGGGGGAACCACGCGGGGTTAAGGGCCGGTGCCTTCCGCGGTGGACGCGGGCACAGGGCCCCAGTGCAGTGCCTAAATGTGCCAAATGGGGCTACCTAGACCACCTTGAGAGGCCCACTGGGTTCCCTGGCCTAGAGCGCTGCACACAGAGAAGGCACCTGGGGTGTGGACGAGAACCGGCTGCATCTAAGCGCTGGGAGGGCCTGAGCCAGAAAAGGCCGTCAGCCCAGGGCGTCTCTCCGGACGTGCAGTGACGTCATGGGGACGGCTCTCC